AGCCAGGATGGTCTCGATCTCCTGACCTCGTGATCCGCCCGTCTCGGCCTCCCAAAGTGCTGGGATTACAGGCTTGAGCCACCCGCGCCTGGCTGGCAGTTTTCAAAAGTTAATGTTGAACAGTATTTGGATTTGGGTTATTGGTTTTTGTTTTTAGTTTTTTTGAGTTGGAGTTTCGTTCTTGTTGCCCAGGCTGGAGCGCAATGGCACGGTCTCGGCTCACTACAACGTCTGCCTCAGGGGTTCACGTGATTCTCTGCCTCAGCCTCCTGAGTAGCCAGGATTACAGGCATGAGCCACGATGCCCGGCTAAACTTAACTTGAATTATTTCTTGTAGCTGCCTATTTTAAAGAAAAATAGGAAGCTAAACCAATCAGAAGTAGCCAACAACCTTATATAACTAGGGACTTTTCAACAAGATAAACAAAAAACCAAGAAGAAACAAGTTTGTAACTACCATTAATCAAATAATTTGTTTCTACATTTTTCCAATAAATAGTTGCCTCTTACACTGTTAATGAAACCTAAACCTCTTTTAGACTGGTGTCCTATAATTAATCAATTGTTCTCACTCAAATAAACTCTTTACAATTTCATTGTGTCTCAGATTACTTTTTAGCAGAATAAAATAAACCATCTAGGAATCCATATTATAAAAAGGTTTACAGAATATGAGAAAAGACACACGATGTTCATGAAATATATGAATGTAGACATAAGCAAATAGAAAAATTACATGTTCTTAGACAGAAAATATACTATCAATATAAATTGTCCTTAAGGTAGTTCATACATTAAATTTTGTTCTACTATAGATACCATTAAATATTGGAGGTAGGCATTTTACTATAAAGTAGTATATAAGCCAGGTGTGGTGGCTCACACCTGTAATCCTAGCACTTTGGGAGGCCGAGGTGGGTGAATCACCTGAGGTCAGGAGTTTGAGCCCCAGCTGGCCAACATGGTGAAACCCATCTCTATGAAAATACAAAAATTAGCCAGACATGACGGCAGGTGCCTGTAATCCCAGCTACTTGGGAGGCTGAGGCAGGAGAACTGCTTGAACCTGGGAGGTAGAGGTTTCAGTGAGCCAAGATGGTGCCACTGCACTCCAGCCTGGTGACAGAGCAAGACTCTGTCTCAAAAATAAATACATACATACATAAAATAAAACAGCATATAGATGAAAAGATAAGAAGAGCCAAGAAAACTCTGGGGAAACAAAAAATAACACAGATAATATTGGCCAGCCCTGTGAAAAATCTTGATTAAAAAAGCTAACAGATCGGCTGGGCGTGGTGGCTCACGCCTGTAATCCCAGCACTTTGGGAGGCCAAGGTGAGTGGATCACGAGGTCAGGAGATCGAGACCATCCTGGCTAATATGGTGAAACCCCGTCTCTACTAAAAATACAAAAAAAATTAGCAGGGCATGGTGGCAGGCACCTGTAGTCCCAGCTACTTGGGAGGCTGAGGCAGGAGAATGACGTGAACCTAGGAGGCGGAGCTTGCAGTGAGCTGAGATTGCGCCACTGCACTCCTGCCTGGGTGACAGAGCGAGACTCTGTCTAAAAATGAATAAATAAATAAAATAAAATAAATAAAAGCTAATAGATTATTGGAACTAAAAATTCAGAAATAGACTAAAGTACCTAAGAAAGTGTCTTAGTCCATCCAGGCTGCTGTAACAAAATACCTTAGGCTGGGTAATGTAAAAACAACAGAAATTTATTGCTCACAGTTCTGGAGGCTGGAAAGTGCTAGATCAAGGCACCAACAAATTTGGTGTTTGGTGACAGCCCTGATCCTCATAGATGATACCTTCTTGGTATGTCCTCACATGGTGAAAGACAAGGACACTCCCTTCAACCTCATTCAAAGGGGCACTTAGTCCATTCAGGAAGATGGCACTCTCTTGGCTTAGTCACTTCCCCAAAGGTCGCATGCCTAATACTATCCACATATGAATTTGGAGGGGGACACAAATATTTAGACCACAGCAAAAATTTAATAAGCAGGAAAAGCTATGTGGAGGATGGCATCATTAATACTTTTACATGTGAAAAATTGATGTTCCTATCACAAAGGAAAGAAATGATTTACTCTTCATGTTCTTCAGAATATAGAACAAAATAAAGGTCCAATGAAAGATAAATCTATACAAAAAAACGAATCAGTGTTAATAAGGTGAATTCTACAAGTTGTATCAGGATTTCTGAGGTTTTTGGGAATGGGCAAGGCCCCAGAATTTCCTCCTGTGACATTCTCCCTGAAGATGCTCATGCTCTTATTCAACTTGAAAGTGGATAAAGGCCAGGCGTGGTGGCTCACGCCTATAATCTCAACACTTTGGGAGGCCGAGGCGGGCGGATCAAGAGGTCAGGAGTTCAAGACCAACCTGGACAACATTGTGAAACCCCGTCTCCACAAAAAACACAAAAATTAGCTAGGCATAGTGATACGCATCTGTAATCCCAGCTACTCGGGAGGCTGAGGCAGGAGAATTGCTTCAATCTGGGAAGGGGAGGTTGTAGTGAGCCAAGATCGCACCACCGGACTCCAGCCTGGGAGACAAACTAAGACTTCGTCTCAAAAAAAAGAAAAGAAAGTGGATAAAGATGTTTTTTCCTGGCTGGGTGCGGTGGCTCAAGCCTGTAATCCCAGCACTTTGGGAGGCCGAGACGGGCGGATCACAGGGTCAGGAGATCGAGACCAACCTGGCTAACACGGTGAAACCCCGTCTCTACAAAAAAAAATACAAAAAACTAGCCGGGCGAGGTGGCGGGCGCCTGTAGTCCCAGCTACTCGGGAGGCTGAGGCAGAAGAATGGTGTAGACCCGGGAGGCGGAGCTTGCAGTGAGCTGAGATCCGGCCACTGCACTCCAGCCTGGGCGACAGAGCAAGACTCCATCTCAAAAAAAAAAAAAAAATGTTTTTTCCTGTTCTAATATTTAAGAAATTCAAAATAAACAGGCCTATGTATGCATGATTCTCAAACAATCAGTCAGCGGTGCTCTGCTAAGGAAGAGCAAAGAGTCTCACATCCACAGAAGTACGATGTTCTGTCAGATAAAGATGTCTCCCTGTGCCAGAGTCACATATTTTACACATGATCAGAGGCTTTCACAGGCAAGCATTGGTCTGCAGCCCTACCACAGACTTAACCCTGAGAATCTGACTTAGAAGGTCACTGATGAACACACGCCCTAGTGTTCTGATCTACATGAATCCTCTCTTAATGGTACCTTCCAGGGATCTGGGATCTTTCCTGAATTCATCTGCCACACACAGATAGACTCAAAAATTTAGACAGAAGCTTTGATCCTCACTGGCACATCTGCCCTGTCCTATCAGCTTCTCTAGAAGTACGCTGCTCTAATTGCTCCTGAGTAACCCCACCTAAGGGTCTCTCTCTTTGCCAACATAATTGATTTCATAAACTGGGAAAAGAAATAGGCAAGAGTCTAGCTATGCTGGGGCTGTCTAAGATTCCCTTACCTATGTCTCTAATTTACCCAAATAATGACCAAAAAGATTAATGGTGGTAGGAAAATGGAAGGAGGAGCCCCAGTTCACAGAAGAAGGAGAAAATGTAATCAGTGCTGCATAGCACCCAGCTTAAGCTTACCCACGGGGGACTGAGTCTCTTCAGAAAAAAGCCATGGTTCTCCATTGTATTAGTCTGTTCTCATGCTGCTAATAAAGACATATCCAAGACAGGGTAATTTATAAAGGAAAGAGGTTTAATGGACTCACAATTCCACATGTGACCTATAGGTCAGGGCAGCGGGGTTCACAATCATGGAGGAAGGCGAGGAAGAGCAAAGTCACGTCTTACATGGTGGCAGGCAAGAGAGCATGTGCAGGGGAACTGCCCTTTATAAAACTATCAGATCTCCTGAGACATAATCACTATCACGAGAACAGCATGGGAAAGACTCACCCCTATGATTCAATTACCTCCCACTAGGTCCCTCCAACAACACATGGGAATTATGGGAGCTACAATTCAAGATGAGATTTGGGTGGGGACACAGCCAAACCATATCATTCATCATCTGAAGGAACCGTGGTCTCAGACAGCTGGGCACCGAGAGTGCATGCTGCCCCCTAGAATTCCACACCTACATCACAGAGAAAACAGTCTCAAAGGATTCTTAAGGTTAATATGGGGAGCCAAAAGGAGAAGATGAATTCACAGCCTCTGCGTTACCTTCTGGTCTAACACTACTCTTGTCCTGGCCCAACAGGATTCCCATACTCTTTTCTGGGTTGCAACAGAGGTAATTCAGAAAGACAAAAAGTTATTAATGCCCCTCCATTCCCCACAGCTTCTGAGGTTTAAGTTGTTCATTCCCTGGGTTTTAGGTTGTTGTTCTCCCTCTACCTCCACAGAATCAGTGTGTCCCATTCCAGTACCTATGATTTCACCTGTATTCTTGTCACCTCCTACTTTCTCCTAGACATTTTATCTAACAGAGCCAGGCGAAACAGAGACAAGGATATTTACATAAAACTTAACCAGAACTAAGTTGGAGTTCCATAACCCCCATTGGGCTGGGATGGCACTCAGGCTGGCCTAAGATTGTGGTTATGGAACAGAAAGACACATTTTGCCCAGGAATGATCAGTGTGGAATCCCAAATTTGAGAAATAGATCCTTAGAGTGCCCAATCGTTTCATCCTTCTCTTGGAGGTAATCAAGAAGAGATAATCCCCTTTTGGAGAAAACCATGTCTAATCAACAGATGACCTAACCAACATGTGTGGAAAAGGAGGTAAAATCAGACAGTTGACCCATTTTAGTAGATTTGGTAATAAACGCCACAAAGTCAGAGTTCAAGCGGTCTCAAAACCCTAAAAGGTGACACAGATTAGTTTCAAGGGACACAAGGTGTCACTGGGTGTGCCAGCCTCCCAGAGGGTGAGAACCATGGCAACTTTGGGCAGGCTGGGAAACGATCCCGGACTCTTGCAGTTCTGTGAGAAATCAAACTTACCACAACTTTGGAAGTCAAGAAGCCAGCACGTTGGGGGATACGGGATCACAATTACTTGGTGAGACAAGCTGCCCTGGTAGCTTGCCCTCTCCCATCAGGTAGGAGAGGTTAAAGAACAGGCAGGCTCCCCCTCCGCATGGCAGAACTGCTGTGAAGGCATGGAGGAGCGAGGTTGAGGTTGGGGGCCTTCGCCTACCATTCCGTGAGCTGAAATTTTTTGTTACCAGCCAGTGATCACAGGGCTGCAGGACTACAATCCCAGCGTGCACAGGGATCAGGGACTGTGCGCATCACTGGAGGAAGGGGCGGAGCTGCGCGCGCTTCGCTGAGCTTGCTGGGAGATGTAATCTCATAGCCACTCCCAGCCCTTCGGCCACAAGGCTGCAGGACTACAATCCCAGCTGTACCAAGATCAGGGGCGGTTCGCAGGCTTAGAGGAAGGGGCCAGCCTTAGAGGAAGGGGCCGGGCGGTGCGCGCCGCGCCTTGTATGCTGGGAATTATAGTCTCTTCATTGCTCTAGGCCCATGGGTAGGTAGCTTCAGAACTACAATCCCAGTATGCATCGGGGCGGTGCGTAGCCCTGGAGGGAGGGGCATAGCGGTGTGGATTTACCGGTGTGGAAAGCACTGCTGGCCGCCGATTTCACGCCGCCCCCTTGCCAGGGAGAGTGAATACAGCTAGGGACGTGAAAGGCAGGTCTGGGCTGGGCATTGAGGAGGGTATTAACCTAGGAAATATACCTTACCTTTGTCTAAATCGGGCGGATCGTCCTCCCGTCATTGGCCCTGTGCAGCTCGGATTCCTCTCACTCGCACCCAGGGGTCTTCCCAAAGCATGGAGTCGTCTCCAGCCCAGGGAGCTGCCTTCTTTCCTAAACTGCTATGGAAACTGTCCTGATGTCTAAGACAATGTACGTTGTGCCGCAGCCCTGTACCTTCTGTAGCTAGAGTGCGAGCTCAGCTGCTTTTGAGAAAAATCTGCCACCTGGCCCACCTGTGCACAACTTCAGAGCTTTGTCGAGGGTGACAAGGGCCGTGGCTTCGGGGAAATACCCCGCACACTGGCGCCTTTTTCGCGAATGTGAAAGTTGAGACATGAAGAAGCTTAATTATTGGGTTGCCCAGGATCTGCCAAGAGCAAAGGAGAAAACCCCATTTCCCAGGCATGTGTCTTGTGAGCCATTTTTTTGTCAACCCTCTCAAGTGGACAAGCTCCAAAACACAACATGAAACTGATGATGATTTAGGCAATTTACGTTTGAAATCATTGGCCTCATCTCAAGTCAGTGTCTCAGAGACACAGGTCGGACCTGATCCCTCAGGAACAGATAGCGTTTCAGCTTTGTGGGATTGACTTTTGAGATGTGGAGCACTGGGGGGTCATTTGAAAGCCATCAGGTTTCACATCTCTGCTTTGGATGGAAAGCCCATCACCTACAGCTGTCAGGGATGTTCCTTAACTCACTGGGGCTCATCTGTTGAATTTTTCTATCTAGATAATGGAAACATCTAGGAGCACTTCTGCTTCCATGTAACCTCTTAATAATTGATGTCCCTAAAATTCTATGTTCTCAGGGACGGTTCCTTTGGTTCCCAGATGGTACCAGCTTTCATGTTGTTATATCTAATATGTAAAAACCTGGATGTTAATCTCCAAGACATTGTTCACGCCACACATTCCAGTATGTTTCATTTGTGATGTCTGAATGTAGGTTTTCAAAGAACTGAAAACCTGGCCATAAAAATTGGACCCTATTACTGTACTTAGTGAATAATTTACCCCTTAGGGTTAATTACACCTGAGTTCATCAGCACCTGTGTAAAGAAAGAAAAAAAATTATGGCATCTGCCAGGCATGGTGGCTCACACCTGTAATCCCAGCACTTTGGGAGACCAAGACGGGTGGATCACCTGAAGTCAGGAGTTTGAGACTAGGAGTTTGAGACCAGGCCAACATGGCGAAACACCATCTCTACTAAAATACAAAAATTAGCCAGGCGTGGTGGCAGGCACTGTAATCCCACCTATTCTGGAGGCTGAGGCAGGAGAATCGCTTGAACCCAGGGGATGGAGGTTGCAGTCAGTGTAGATCAAGCCACTTCATTCCAGCGTGGGCAAAAGAGCGAAACTCCATCTCAAAAACCAACAAAACCAAACCATGTGGCACCTATGCACCTGGCAAGATGAGGAAGTATAGGGAGACCACAGCACATTTCTAGGGCCCTTCTTTTGTTTTAAATAGTGCCTGTGGGGAAAGTCTGTGTGATCCAGTGCACACATCCCTTCCCTATCCCTCCGTTTTCATCCTACTCCTTTCTGTGCCCTCTTTAGGTGAAGGTGTCTGATTACCCTCGCCTACAAGTGTTGCTTGGGGATGTTGTAATGTAACCATATCCATCCTCTCAAAATGAGGATTAATAGAGAAGAGAGTCTTGGGACTTGTGTTCAGATGCACTGCTGTTTGGCGTGTGGCTGCTCTCATCAGTCCACAGCAGCTGTCAGAAAAGATTGGTCCTGATGTAGCCACAGCTGGTGTTCGCAGGGCTGGGTGCTTCTTGTGGTTTGGTGTCTTTTGCTTAGATTTTGTGGCTCTGATTCTCTTCTGCTTATCCATTCCTGGCAGTATCTGCGGGGTTGCCTGGTTTGTTCCAGTTGTTTCCTGGAAGCTTGTTGTGTAACTGTATATCCCAGGATCTTTGGGATTCTATTCTCACTAGACCAGTCACTGTCCACTGGCCCTGTCCTTATCTTGCTGGAGCCCCCATGTTCATCCTCTCCAGTGGAGCAAAGAATTCTAGTTACTTAGAAATCTTCTAATTCTGATGCTGCTGGGCCATTTATGAAGCTGGGAATCTTGTCTTTGGGTTCATGGATGTTATTCTTTTTGCATATTTCGATATCTGATGCTATTTTACTGATAATGTGAACATGCAGCAACAGGCATATTTAAATATTAGTGACTTTTTTTTTTTTTGAGACAGAGTTGCGCCCTGTTGCCCAGACTGGAGTACAGTGGCGCAACCTTGGCTCACTGCAACCTCTGCTTCCTGGGTTCAAGCGATTCTCCTCCCTCAGCCTCCCAAGTAGCTAGGATTATAAGCACCCACCACCACACTCAGCAAAGTTTTATATCTTTAATAAAGACAGGGTTTTGCCATGTTGACCAGACTGGTCTAGAACTCCTGACCTTAAATGATTCATCTGTCTTGGCCTCTCAAAGTGCTGGGATTACAGGCATTGAGCCACCGCACCTGAACTTGTATTGCCTTTCTCTGATTCTGTTTGAGGCTAGTACTAGGTTCCTAAAATATATTGGGAAATGTTCCTTCCTCTTCTACTTTCTGAACAATATTGAGTAGAAATGGTGTTAATTCTTTTTTAAACACTGGACTCAGAAAACCATTCAGGCTTGAATTTATTTATTTTTTTTAGTTTTAAAATTATGATTTCAGGCTGGGCGCAGTGGCTTATGCCTGTAATCCCAGCACTTTGGGAGGCTGAGGTGAGTGGATCACCTGAGGTCAGGAGTTCGAGACCAGCCTGGCCAACATGGTAAAACCCCATCTCTACTAAAAATACAAAACTTAGCCGGGCGTGGTGACAGGCACCTGTAATCCCAGCTACTTGGGAGGCTGAGGCAGGAGAATCACTTGAACCTGGGAGGCAGAGGTTGCAGAGAGCCAAGATCACGCCATTGTACTCCAGCCTGGGGTACAAGAACGAGACTTTGTCTCAAAAATAAATAAATAATAAAATTATGATTTCAGTTTCTAGTGTAGGGCAATTCAAAAATATCAGTTTTTTAATTAGGTAATTGTGGTAATTTATGTTTTGAGCGGTTAAATCATTTCATCTAAGCTGTTAAATTTTATGTGTATAGAGTTATTCATATTGAAGTCTCAACCCTCATTGGGACTGGGTGTGGAGAGGGAGTTTTTTTGTTTGTTTGTTTGTTTGCAACCATACCCGGCAAATTTTTCGTATTTTTAGTAGAGGTGGGGTTTCACCGTGTTCGCCAGGATGGTCTCGATCTCCTGACCTTGTGATCTGCCCGCCTTGGACCCCCAAAGTGCTGGGATTACAGGCGAGAGGGAGATTTTTAAGAGGTAATTAAGGTTAAATGAGGTCATGAGAGTGAGGCCATAATTCAGTATGACTATCATCATGATAAGAAGAGATAAAGGCCAGGTACTATGGCTCATGCCTGCAACTGCAGCACTTTGGGAGGCCAAGGCAGGTGGATCACTTGAGGCCAGGAGTTGGAGACCAGCCTGGCCAACATGGCGAAACTCTGGCTCTACTAAAAATAAAACATTAGCTGGGCGTGGTGGCACACACCTGTAATCCCAAACCTGTACTCATGTCACTGAGGCAAGAGAATCTCTTAAACCCAGGAGGTGGAGGTTGCAGTGAGCTGAGATCGTGCCACTGCACTCCAGCCTGGGCCATAGAGCGAGACCCTGTCTCAAAGGACCAACAAATAAAATAAAGGAGAAGGGACAGAGAAACACTAGAATGGGCCGTTTAGAAGAAAAAGGCCATGTGAGGACACAGAGGAAGGTGGCCATATGCAGAGGGCTCAGGAGAAACCAACTGTCCTGAGACCTTGACCTTAGACTTCCAGCCTCCAGAACTGTGAGATTATTTCTTTTAACTCACCCAGACTCTAGTATTTTCTTATGGCAGCCCTAGAAAACTAATAACTGTATTATACTTTTTTTTTTTTTTTTTTTGAGATGGAGTCTCGCTCTGCCACCCAGGCTGGAGTGCAGTGGCCGGATCTCAGCTCACTGCAAGCTCCGCCTCCCGGGTTCACGCCATTCTCCTGCCTCAGCCTCCCCAGTAGCTGGGACTACAGGCGCCCGCCACCGCGCCCGGCTAGTTTTTTGTATTTTTTAGTAGAGATGGGGTTTCACCGTGCCAGCCAGGATGGTCTCGATCTCCTGACCTCGTGATCCGCCCGTCTCGGCCTCCCAAAGTGCTGGGATTACAGGCTTGAGCCACCGCGCCCGGCCCCTGTATTATACTTTTTATGTTTGCAGGGTCTGTAATGATATCCCTTGTTTCTCTTTTTTTTTTTTTTTTTTAGACACCTTTTTTTTTTTCACCAGGCTGGAGTGCAGTGGCCCGACCTTGGCTCACTGTAATCTCCGCCTCCTGAATTCAAGCAATTCTCCTGCCTCAGCCTCCCGAGTAGCTGGGACTACAGGCGCCTACCACCACGCCTGGCTAATTTTTACTTTTTGTATTTTTAGTAGAGACAGAGTTTCACCATATTGGCCAGGCTGGTCTCGAACTCCTGACCTTGTGATCCGCCTGACTTGGCCTCCCAAAGTGCTGGGATTACAGGCATGAGCCACCATGCCTGGCCGATATCCCTTGTTTCATTCCTGACGTGGTAATTTGTGT